TTTAATTCAAAAAAAAGATTATAATAAGAATTAGAAATAATCAAAATTTTGGATGCTTAACTTCATGTGTTGAATTAAAAAAATGAATTAATTCTATCAGATCAATATAAAAAGATATTCAATGAAATTTACATTTAAAACCCATGTGATATTATATTAGCATATGATTCATCTGTAAATTCATCAGCATGTTTATCTTTTAATAAAAATATATTACAAGAAGGACTTTCAGTTGCTATAACAAATTTTTTTGAAAACGCCAAAAATATGTTGTAATAATACTCTTATTATGATAAAAATGCTATATATAATAATTTAACCTTCAATATAAGTACGAATCATAGAAAAAATTACACATGTAATATTTATAATACAAGAATTGGTAATGCAAATAGAAAAATGCAAAAGGTATTTATTAGAGTATGTCATATGTAATTATCAAATGAATTACAAAGTTATTTAAGTTTGCATTATTCTGATTTGGAATTGTAATTTACTTTACTTTTCTTGATATTTTGTGTGATTTCTGTTATTGTATATTTTGTAATATGGATACCATTACAGACAAGATTTTATAATGAATCTAAATTAGCTAGAGAAATATAATCACTTATTCCATTAGATCTTTTTAATAATTGTTAATTTTTGCAAATATATCTAAAATGGATTAAAGAAAATTGATTGAATTTAATAACTGAAATATAACTTTATTATTTTATTTTAACTCAATATAATTATCCACCTACTTGTTCTATAACAACATCAATTTCATCTCCTGTTTCCATTCCAATCTAAAAGAATTTCATTTTGATATTTTTACATCTGCTGGAGTTTAAGTCTCTAATATTCTTTCACCATCAAACAAAAATCTGACATTTTAGATTTATAACTAAATATTTTAATTTATATTTGTATACATTTTGTCTAGAACAATATGCATCCATTAATTTTTTAAATTAAGTTTACTTTTTAATTTTAAAAAAGACTTCTTCACCATCTTAAGATTTAACTTTCAAATTCAAATAGTCTGCTTATTGTTGTTCTGTCATTTTAAGATATTTATGAATTAAAATTCTTATTTGGAATACACAATTAAATAATACTAAATAATGTAATGATTTTTATTTAATTATTTAGGTTATATATTTAATTATAATGTTATATATAATAATTTATTATATATGTGATAGATAAGAAAATAGTAGAATTAAGAGTAATGATTAAGAAGAGTTTAATTAATTCATGATCTGATATAGTATTTTAATTAAATTTTATAAAATTAATTACAAATTATATGTAATTAGAAGCTCCATAAATTTTTGAATTTGATTGTTACAAAAAGGGACAAAAGGGTACAAAACATTATAAAGGAATAATAAATAACAATAAACTCGAACTCTATAAAGTATTAACGTTAATTTAATTCATTTAAGGAGAACGCTAAGGTTTCGAAATATGTCTTACCTATTTAATTGTAAACTCACATCAAATGGGAAGTTGAAGAAGAAAGTGTTAATGGAAAGAAGCATTACAAAATTGTGTCATTTAAGTTTTAATAAGTAATTTTTGGCATATATTTCAAGATTAAATAAATAAAAGACTCTTAAATAGCTAAAGTTACCTGTTTTTATGGAGATGATATCACTCTTACTAAATTAAAAGAACATCTAAGAAATAAAATAATCTTCCAAAGAATTTAAGATTTTTATACACCACTCTAAACATTAGGAAAAGGAGCTTCTTCTAGAGTATTATTGGTCAGACATAAAAATTCTGAACTTTATTATGCTGCAAAATGTGTTGATAAGTCATATGTTAACGAAACAGAAAATGGAATTGTAATTAGCATTTATTATTTTAAGGAATCAATGTTTTAGGAGATTTCTATCAATAATGATTTAGATCATTCTTCTTTTATTAAATTACATGCAGTTTATGAAGGTGACAATACATTTTATATGGTAATGGATTTATTAGAAGGAAAAAGTTTGCATGATGAATTAAATAGCCATAAAAATGGATTTCCTGAAGAAATAGTGCGTAATGTGATGTGGGTATAATATTTATTTAAAATTTTAATTTAAGTAAATTCTGACTGGTATAGAATATATGCATAAGAAAAATATAATGCATCGTGATCTTAAACCAGAAAACATAATGTTACAAAAAAAATCTGATTTGAATTCTTTAAAAATAGTAGATTTTGGATTGGCAACCTATTGCAATATTGACAAGTAATCTTTAAATAACATAATCCAAGATATTTATTTCCAAAATGTGGTACTCCTGGTTATGTTGCTCCAGAGATTGCAAATTTAATTGATAAATCAGAAAAATATGATAAAGTATGTGATGTCTTTAGTGCTGGAGTTATATTCTTTAAATTGTACTTTATTAAATACATATATATAGATTAACTGGTAAAGATCTCTTTCCAGGAGTAGGATTTAATTTAGTATTAAAATTAAATAAATAATGTAAAATTGATTTAACTCCATTATAAATGAAGAAAATAGATCCTAGTATCATTAATTTAATTCAAAGAATGCTTGAAAAAGATCCTACCAAAAGAATATCAGCTAGTGCATGTTTATTAGAACCATTTTTTGAAAAAAGTCACACTTAAGAACTTAAACAATAATAAACTTCATCTCAAAAAAAATAATTTTTTTCTTCTGGAGGAAAGAATTTTTAGACTTAAGAATTTTAAAGTGATTCACCTTCATTATAAAATTAAAAATAAATTGAAAAAGGATCTTTTGTTACATAAGATAGTGCATTCAAAGGATTCAAAGAACCTTAACATGGTAAAGTAATGTAAAAATTTAATACTACTGAATTTGATCATGTAGATATAAGTGGAAGTCCTAATGAAAAAAAAAATAGTAAATTTGCTAATACAGATAAAATAGAAGAGGAAGATGAAAAATGAATTATTATTAAAATTAAAATAGAAATTATTATATTTTTAACAACTTTTAAAATATAGTTATATATTCAGACAATAAAATTAAAAGGTATTAATTATTACTATTAGTTTTGATTAAATTAATAATCTATTAATAGAATAGGATGAAATTTCTTGATCTTTATTAGATCAGTTTTAGGTTTAATTAAAACTAAATAATATATATATTTTTCATTTTCTATTGACAAATTACATTTAATGTTTTATTTAAGATAAGCTCACTGACATTATTTTTATTTATTATTTAATCCATAAGCATTCAAATAATTTTATGTTTATCTTATAAATATTAATAATGAATCTTTATTTTTAATTATATAATTATTTCATGTTGTAATATTAGATGTTGTCATTTTTTAGAAATAATTTTGAGTGAATAAGATCTTAATTCGTATGAAAAATCTTAAAAAACTATAAAAAAGATATATCATATATGGAAAAATTATTTTAGACTTAATTTTGAAATAATAAGTGATTATCGTTATTAGTCAATTTTAGTAAAATAATAATGAACAAAAAATAAAAAATTCAATCATTGTTGTACATTTGATTATGTTGGTGTTGATTATTCTCGTAAACGACGATTAAGAATGGGATTTTTATAGGGATTGAATATTGTATAGATATCAGTTGTCTCTTATAAAATAATTGCTATATCTTCTGATTTTTTAGCCTTGGCCATAATTTGTTTCAATTATCCGTTATTGTATTTTGTGCCTCCATGACAGATTCCCATTTAATTTATTTATTAATTTATCTTTTTTAATATTTTAATCAGTTTATTGGCATAAATAATAAACATCTTATGAATTAATTTATATATGATTATTTAAGTTAAGCTAAAAAACAGAAAAGAATATTTGCTAATTTTTAACAATATAAATTAAATATTATATAATGAACAAATCAATATATATAAGAATTTTTAGACTTAGAATTGAATTTTTTATGAATCCAAATTATGATTGATTTGTTCCTTTCTTAAAATTGAATCAAAATTTTATAATTTAACTTATGAAACATCTTTTTAAAGTCTACCACAATTAGTTATTTTTATTATTTTAAAGCAATAAAATTCATAAATTAAATAAATTATATTATAAAAAGATATTAATCAAATCAAATTATTTTTATATTATCAATCTAAAAATATCATTCAGTTTCTAACATTAAGTAATTAAACTAAGTTTTGGCATTCATGATACTTATAATTAAATATATATATTATCTTCTGCTACATTTATTTATAAACAGAATGATAATAATAAATGATAAGTTTTAAATATTTTAAAGAGAGAAATAATCATTAAAAGCTTAATAATTATTTTAGCATAGATACTAAAAGTATTTTAAACTTACATATAAATTTTAATTTCGTAATCGATTGATTTACAATAGCCCTATAATATTAAATTATATTTTATGATAGGTATTTTTTAGATTTTAATAATTTCAGGAAGCCAATTATCAGTGTATTCATTATAAATAACCAAGAATTTATTTATATAAATTACACCTATTTAATTTATTAAAAAAAGTTATTTTAATTCCATATTTATAAATAAAGTTCCAGTTTATATATTAAGTAGAAACATATCTTGTTTATCTAGTCCGACAAAGGGAATTCTATTTTATCATTAACTTCTTAATTTAAATTATAGATTAGAAAATGTTAGGAATAATTAATAAAAACTTAAAATTCTAAATCTCAATAGTTTTTATCAGTCTTTAAATGTTAAAAAACACCAAAAATATTCACATAAAATCAATTAAAATTCGATGTATATGTAATGACTTTTGTTGAAAATAAAAGATCCCTATCTACATAAGAATTATAAAAATTCATATCAAATATCCTTATTTTGTAACTCTACAGGATTAATATATTTTTGAAAATATTCTTTGATTATGTATTATCTCTTGATTAAAGACTATATTATAAAAATAATCAAATTATTTAATAAAAAAACATTATATATATTTTTAGAAAGTTTCATTGAACTAATTAAATTAATATTATTTATTAGATTATATGTTTTTTTTAGCAGTTGGTTTCTTTATGGGATTACCCCTAGGATTTTATTTTAGAGAACATAACTTATAACCACCAGTTGCTATTAATATGGAATCAATCAAAAAGGCTTTTGAGATATTTGCAGAAAAGGAAGACAAAGATGATGATTGATTATTATATATCTATAATTTTTAATAAATGCACAGATATCAAATTATATATATATATATTATAAATAATAAATGAATGTAAATTAAGAAGAATTTATCTATTCCATAAATAAAATTTGAATTTTGATACCATATTTATTTAAGTGAGATGATATTTATTTATTAAAAATATAATATACACTTGATTTATAACGAATTAAACCTTAAGTTATAATTAACATAGTCTGGAAATAGTTAGAAATGATTAAAAAATAGTTCATAGATAATATATAAATAGATAATCGATTAAAGGAAAATTTGATTTTTAATAATAATCAAGAATGGATAGAATATTTACAATTTGGTTAATTCATCATTTTTTCTTTAAACATAAACAACAGCAATTTAATAATTGAGAACACTTATCCAAGAATGATGAATCTTCTTCTTCTATATAAGATGTATAATGATTTTGATATTTTAATTCATCATCAAATAGTTAATTATTTTAATAAAGTAGAAATACTAAGTCATCTTTAAATTTAGCAAGTTCTTACTAATTTAAGGCACTTGTAAAAAATAATGCAAAATTTTAGATTTTAAGTATTTTCTAAATTTATTGTTTTATAGCACTATAAGTATGAAGAGTTTTATCACTCTTGCACCCTAAAAAGAATATAAGAGGTTTATCTTTAACGATATGATGATGATATTCTAAATACAAAAATGGATTTTATTGTTCTAAATTGATGGCAATTGCAGCAACAGAAGCATTTTACTGAATATTATATTCATATGACGGATTACCTGGACAATCATATATTTGTATTTATATATTATCTATTTAAAGTTTTCTAAATTCTTAATAGACAGTAGGATATGTTATGATAGATTCATTACAAAGTGCATTGATTAATGATGTTTTTCCAGTATTTTAATCACCTATAAGTAAAATATAAGTTTATTTCATTATGTGAATTTGATTATAATTTATAATATATATATATATATATTCAACAACATTATTCATTTTTTTTTACTTCTTTTGTTTGAGATTTCACTGATAAAGAAGATCCATGATATTTTTCTATTTTAGAAGCTTCTAAAACCCAATTTTAAAATAATTCATTAATTCCTACACCTGTAGCTGAAGAAGTAGGAAAGAAAATCAATTTTTTTGATTTATTTTCTATTATGTTTATTTTTTAACATTGTTTGAGGATATCTTATAAACTGTCATTAATGGCTTGTATTAATTATTTTGGATCTTCAATTTTATCAAGTTTACATCCCACAATAAATACAGGAGTGTTTATATCAGAATTATCAAATATTTTACCAATCCAATGTTATATTTATGTTGCAAGGTTCTCTTGATATTCATTTTCTTAATTTTAATAATATGCTTATTCTGGCAAACTAAATGCTAGAACTATTGCAGAAGCATCTTTTATAAATGAAATTGCTAAATCAGAATTTCTAGCTAAGCCAGCTATATCAAAAATATTAAGATTAATAGATTTTCCATTTAATTTAAAATTTTTTATTGTTCTAAAATCTACAGCTACTCCACAATTTATATTTTCATAAAATTTATTCTCTGCAACTCTCAATATTAAGGATGTTTTGCCTGCTCCTTAATTTCCAACAATTCCAAGCTTTATTGGTCTCTCTTAATTATCCATTTCTCAAAGATTATAAATATTAATGAAATTTAGACAATATTTAGATTATACTTTCATAATATATAAATACTAATATATTTACATATTTAATATTATAATATCAATAAGTAATTAAAATGGCAGATGATGGTGGTGCAGATGTAAAAATACTTCTATATAAATTTAGAAAGGAGAATATATTGGAGAAGAAGTAGCTAAAGCAATTGATGATGGAATTAATGCTGTATTTCAATTAAAAGAAGGTGAGAATCCTCCAGCCACTTTAATTTATTCAAAAGAAAAGGTTATTAGTTGGAGTAATCAACTCTTAGATTACACAAATAGAAATTTGAGTAAATTAGACAAACCATTTAAGTATTGTGTGAGCTGCATTATATAATAAAATAATGATTCAAAATTTACAGTTGCACGTATTTATTCAATTATATAATATAGTTGGTGCTAGTTTTGATACAAACACTGATGGTATATGCAGTGCATAAAGAGAAATTAATGACATTGTAATTATTATATCTGTATTTGCAATGTTAATATGATTATTATTATTATTATACATTTTATATCAATTTAAAATATATATATATATATTAATAACTAATTCTAAAATAAAAATTAACTAATATTTTCATGAACTTAAGACATTAAAGTATTATTATCAATGATCTCTTCAAATTCTAAATAAGTAATTTCATTAAATTTATTACAATTGCCAAAATTTCATTTTTATCAATTTTTAATTAATTTCAATATTTAAACTCAAATCACCAAATGTGTATTAGATGGCAATTTTACTACTTTATAATTTTGAAAAAAAAACAAAATATTTTCCATTTTATATCATGAGATATTCACTAATTTCATTAATATGTGCCAATATAATATAAAGTTTAAATTATGTTATATAAAGCAATCTTATGTTCTATTTTTGTGATATTTAAGCGAAAATAAATCTTGAATATTCCTTAAAATAATAAATTATATGTCAAATCTAGATCCTAACATCTATCCCCATTTAAAAGTGAGTGTACCTTCATTTTTAATAAAAACTTACGAAATATTGGAAGTATTTTGAGTATAATTCATCATTAAGAATGATTCATTAACAAATCTCATATCCTGGAATAATGAAGGGACAGCTTTTATTGTCTATAATCCAAATGAATTGTCATCTTAAGTCCTAGCAAATTATTTTAAACATAAAAATTATCCTAGCTTTTTAAGGTAATCAACATTATAAATATAGATAACTAAACATGTACAATTTTAAAAAGACAAGAAATCAATATGGATTTAGTGAATTTAGACATAAATGGTTCAGGAAAGGCTAAAAGTATGAAAAAATTAAATCCTTATCTCTAGAAACATGATATAATATATCAGACGTAGAAATTAAGAGGAATCAGATATAAAAATAGAAACAAGAGAATAAAATCAAGAACTTGATTATTATAAACAAGAACATGAAAATATCAAAATATTGATTTAAGATCTTTAAGAGGGTCATAAAGAAATAAAATAGAACTTGGCAAAATCAATAGATTAATCAACCTCTTTGAATCGATAAAATTTTATTACTATGCAAGTATTAAAATCCATAATAATTAGAAAATTCATTAAACTTAATTAGAATTTAATAAAAAGTATGATTACGTGACCATCATGCTAACAAATGTACTAACCAATCTTCCAAATATATGTATAATATAATCTTAAAAAACAGTAAACAATTTTAAAGAAGTATTTAAATTTTGTTAAGACGAACCAAATTTATAGAAAACATTATAATGTTAAGAAAATGGAGCATAATCTCCATACCCTTAAATTTTACCCTATAATCAATATTAATTTTATACCTAAAAATAATAGCCATGTAAATTTTATTGTTATCATATTTCAAGATTATTTTTATGATTAGAAATAATGTTTTTACAAAAATACTCCATAATTAGCCATAACCGACATGTAAAACAACTATTATTGTAAAATTCTCTTTTATTTTATTAGCTCCAACCACATTTTCAGTATCAAACAGTCAACAAAATTCTCCTTATAGATATTCAAACATACCATAATCAAAGTATCTTATAGATTATTCAAATATTGAATAGGTATAAATTACAATATAATTTTAGTATAGCTTAAATCAATAAGTATGATTTTATAATACATCATTATTTTTACTCAAAAATATCATTAATATTCAAATTCTAGATTAATTAATCCATTATTTTTCGATAACTCTGTCAAAAATTAAATTGTAATTGATTCTCTAATTGTAGGCAATTCATCATTCTCAGTTCTATGCAAATACCCTATATTCTAAGAGTGACTCATATCCTTTGTTTAATATGATCTTCTATATTATGGAGATTTAGCTCTATTATTTTATTAAGTGTTGGGTGATTGTTATGACTGGACACTTTTTACAATTCTTTAAATATATTGGGTTTCTATTTTATATTTTTAAGGGTTCATTTTTAATTTCTATTCTTACTCTTTTTAATTAAAAGCTTTTAATGGAAAAAGAAGAATTTCCTTTATTGGACTACGAGCTCTCTTACTCACTTAATTAGTTTTCTGAGTTTATTTCATGTTTACTAATTCAACATTTTATAGATCAGAATATTAGATTTCTCTAATCAAAATAATATCATCTGATTGACATATATGATTTTATCTTAATATCATTTAATCATTATTATCTAAAATATATTTTCTGCTCTAGATTTATTCATAATCTTAAATGACTTTTATATTTTGTTCTTGGATAATTATAAAATCAAGATGTTTTTTATTTCTATTCCAAGCCCCCAGAATATATTGACATACATGTGATTCTAAATTACATTTTTTTTATTTAAGATCTAATAAATATATATCCAATTATTAAGCACTTTGATTACTTCTTTATTAAATCATATTAACTACTTTTTTTGAATAATCTTATCTGACATATTGTAATATTTTATTATTTATATAAATTCTATTGTATTCCTTGACATATTATTCTCTATCTTAATAACTCTTAACAAAGTTCTCTATTGACATAATAAATGTGCCTATATCTTCACATTATAATAAAATAGGCTCTAAGAAACTTAAATAAGTTAGAACACATTTTATCTATGCTTTAGATCCATCAAGTAATAATAAATCTATAATTGTATCACTTAATCTATTGTGAAATGTAAAACAGCAAACCAACCATTAAATTGTAATTAAGCTTGTTTCAATTTGTAATTTTTTCATATGATTAAACAATTAAGGTTTTAAGAATTATAATAGATCTTTAATTATGTAATCATCACATTAAACTCCATACAAATGATTATAATAATTTGGTGGTAGGAGTGTCTCAAATAAAAAACATAAAAACCAGAAAGTTTCCTAGTGAGAGAGATCAAATTGATACCTCTTCATTCAAATGCTGAAGGAAATAATACGCTATATAATTAAACCCTTAACAATATCCAATTTATGCATTACGAATACTATATGCATTTAAGACATTGCTCAATTTTACTCTATAATCTTCATCTTAAGTAGTTCTAACAATATCTCTTTTAATAATTTCTTAAAATTAAGATGGAAAATGCTGAATTTTCTATAAATTCTAATAATAGGATGAGTAAGTATTTAGATTATAATTTATATTTGACAAGACTTTCCAATATTACTTTAATGATTGATTTTAAACCTTTTCTCTTAATACACATTTAAAAGCCTAATTAACACAACTATAAGAATTATTGCAAATTCTAACTAACTATGATAAGATTCTTAATAATACCTCTTGATCTTCATCAAATAATTAAAAGTATTTGATTTATACATTCAATATAGATCTTTTTTTTTGATTCTTTTACAAATCCCCCTTCATATTTTAAATGAAGATTTTGCTTTGAATAAAATTGGTCATAATTTTAATTAGCTCATCATTTTCTTTTATCATTATTAATAATAAATTAAAATTCTTTTCATTCCCAAAATCATGTTCAATACATTTATTTAATCTAAATTGTATTATATCTAATTCTAATCTTTATTTGATTTCCTTATTTTCAAAAGTTTACTTTTAAATTTTATAACAATAATTTTAGATTTATAAATCTCATATAATCTAAGTGATACTTCAAAAAATGTTTTACTTAACTATTTGATCCAATTATACAAATACTTTAAATTGTATGATTATCATAGCATAATATATTTTATTATATGTATTCTATATATTTAGTATTTTTAATATAGTTTACTTTCTTCTTATATTAATCTAATATAATGTTTTAAGAATCAATTTATAACTTTATTCTAAATAAAGAGTATCTAATTTAACATTTTTTTGATTTCTTTTTCTTAAGCTGTTATTAGATTAAAGAATAAATCTAATAGATTAATTGTATTTTATTATTATTTGTTATCTATTTGAGTATATCATATTGTAAATTTAATAAGTTATTTGATAGATTGAAATAATTAGAGTATAAACTATAATTGTATTTAATTATTTTTGATAATTTATTTCTAACTATGTCTTAAAATAAAAGTAAGTTCGATTACTTAGATAGTTATATTACTTGGTGACAGTGGAGTAGGCAAAACAACAATTCTGCACAAGTAACTTTACTGAATGAGATCAAGCTTCTTAGATATAAATTAATAACCTGAAACCACAATTGGAGTTTAGCATCATTCATTTTCTAGAAATAATATAAAATTTTCAATTTGGGACACCGCTGGATAAGAAAAATATAGATCAATTGTTTCAAGGTTTATCCTTTATTATATTAAATATAGTCATTATAAGAGAGCAAAAGCAGTCTTATTAATTTATGATTGTTCAAGAGAGGAAACTCTTTTACATATTGACAAATGGATTGAAGAACTAATATTTTAAGTTGGAACAAAAATAATAATGATTTTAATAGGAGTATTTAAGTTATTTGATTTTTATTTAGAATAAGACAGACTTGCAAAAAGTTGATTTTAATGAAACTGTTTAGAATTTGTAAGATAAATATGAAATATCATATCATATAACAACAAATCATAATGATCCTGAATTCAAAGATAAAATGATTTAGATATTCGATTAAATTAGCATAAGTATTATTTTACTCTATATTTTATGTTTGGGATTGTTAGTTCCAAATTAATAATATTCATCAACTAAATAAATATTTTCATAAAAGTAAGAAGTTATTCCATTTAAATCTTCTACACTTTTTAATAATCATTCATCTGGTGATCCAGAAATAATATTAATTCATTAAGAAAAACCTTAGGATGTATCTGGAGGTGTTTAAAATGATAGACAATCTTGTGAGTGTTGATTATTTTTTATAAAAAAACAACTAATGATGATATTATTAAAAAATTTATGAATAAATGAGAATTTATTTAAAATATTATTTTTATATTAATTGATAGAATCAAGAAGTATAAGTTTTCTTATTAATATGGAGATTATATAATTATAGTTTTTATCCTAATGATTTTGAAGCAATTTACCGTTCAAAATTAATACTTTCAAGTTGACTTGATTAATTTTATAAAAAACCTGTTCTTATTTAACTGTAGAATTATTCTAAGACCTCTTATTGAGCTTTAATATCTATTTCAATTAGATCTGAAGATTTTTATTAGTTACAAATTTGTTTAGCACATTATTTTAACAAAGCAATAAATTCATAAAATGGTTATATGAGATCAATTTTTTCTACAATAGGTTATTATATTTTAAACATTGATTAAATATAAATGCTTCTCCAATTGAAATAATCATCTTTCCACCATTGTTCCTATTTTCTTATAAATGTATTAATAGCTAGTAAAACTTCAATTGATATCTAAAATATTTCTTATAATATTACTTGTACTAATTAAACTTAGTAATAATGAAAAAGTTCAACAGCATTTTCATTAAAACTAGTTTATAATTCTTAAACACCCATTGAAACTTCTATTAATTATTTGAGTAAATAATTTAATTAGATGGCTGCATCAGTTTCTGGATTAAAGTTCCTAATCAATATAACTGTTTTATTGTTTAATATAGTTTTAATTTCATTTATGGCAACCCAAGTTTTTCCTTCATTAACAATTCTATTTTTGTTGATATGTTTAGATAAAAATGCTGATAAGTCTGGAAAATTTAATTTTTCTAAACTAATCTAATCAAAAAAGTTCATCAATTCTCTAATTGTATTAAACTAATTTATAAATTCTGTTTGATTTATTTATTTGACAGAATTACATGTATTTTTTTAAGATAAACAAGTTCCCATAATTATTAAATTAATTAATTTGATAATAATATATCTATAATTTGAGTATAATAAATTTATAAGAAATAGAAAAATCATAGTAATTGATTATGTGCCCATTTTCTAGCAAATAAAAAAGGGTCATTTTGATGTTTTACATTTTCTTATAAAATATCAATTAGAGTATCAAATTGTGTATTTTATTCTTTTAAAATTATTTAATTTAATAAACTAACCAAATACATACTCAACAATTTACCTTAATCTTCCAATTAAGAATTAAAAAAGATTTAAAATGTGTTATCTAAGGTAAAATTGAGAGTATGTTCTATCTTTTCATAATAAATACTAAATTAATTAATCCATTAAGATAATTATTCTTTTATTGTTTATGGTGCAAATGATTAAAAAGCTTTGGCTTTAATTGCCAACAATTTCCTTAATAGAAAAATACAATATTATTTCTGTTCAGTTGAACAATCCATAGTTTTAATTAGATTTTCTAAAAATACACAAAAATAAAATGTTGGTAAAACTATTGCAGGTAATTAAGATTATTACATTTTTAATCTTATACTTTATTGTATGCTATTATTATTATTTGTTTAAAATGAACATTCAGTTGATTATTAACATAATATTTCATGATTATTCTAATTTTTAGTGTGAGAAAGTAATTTAGGTTGATCTTCTATAGTATTGAAATCAGATACAGAATTAATCTTGGTTTTAACATCTTAAAATTTATTTAAGCTCAAAAATTTTAATGAATCAAAGGTTTATGTTTTTGTGTGAGATTAAACCTTTTTTTAGTACTTTTATTTGTTATTTTCAAAAGGATATTATTATTTTGGTGAAGATAATGGAGAACTAAGATTTGATTGTATACAATTATGAGATACTTTCATAAATTGCTATTATATTCTTGGAGAAGCAATTTATTCTTTTTCTTATTATATATATGTTAGAATCTAATTAATATTATCCCTATTATTTGGTTCTATTTATAACATACCAAATAGCAATTATTTTACTATACTTTGATATTAAAGATCTAAATTTTGACATTTCTTTAGTATATCCTTATGGAAAACTTTAATATCAGCTTTGTAGGGAGGAATACTTTTAAAAATCAATTCATAAGTCATGATTCCTAAAGCCCATATATCACTCTTTTCAGAGTATTGATTCTTCAATAGTATTTCAGGAGCCATGTATAATGGAGTGCCAACATTGAATCTTTTTATAATACTTTCAATTTGATCCTCAATCAGAGCAAATCCAAAGTCAGCTAATTTGTACACATTCTAATGTATTAGTATATTGGCAGGTTTTAGGTCTCTATGAATGATTTCTAAAGTATAATTCTTCGTTACTACTTTTATTATGTAAAGCATGTATTCCTAACGAGATTTGTTTTAGAATTGAGAATACTTTAGGGATAGGCAATTCATTTGTCTACATCTAACGTTCCAAGGTTCCCCCATTACAAAATTCAGTTACTATATATGTATTATTAGCACTTTAACTAACTTCAAAAACTTTCATTAAATGTGGATGATCTATTCTAAGCAGAATAGAGATTTCATTTTTTAACAAAGATTTTTAGATTGGAGACGTATATGTTTGAGAACTAATAACTTTTATTGCCACTATTTATTGAGTTTTTAAATTTTCTCCCAAATATACTTTTGAAGAATATCCAGATCCTATTTCTTTATTAAAATCAAAAACGTAATCACCTATTTGTTTTATTTTAGTTTCATTCTAATTATTCATTTTTATAATCGAAGTTTACCGACTAAGATTTATAAATTATATTTATTAATTAAGAAATATTATAGTATGATAACTGAGTATATATATAGACTCTTATTGTTGAAAACTCATATGTCTTTTGAAAAAGTAATCAGACCCTGAAAACCTATAATATCTTATGATATTCATAGTAATTCATTAATCATAATATTTTATTTTTAATAGATAATATAAATGTATACAAGGATAAACTAACATAAATATAGAATTTTACCATCAATTCTATAAAATGTTATAAGAATTATTTAAAATTGTATTTTAATATTATCCAAACACTTTTAAATCTAAAAAAAGTATTAGGAACTAAATAACAGATTTTAAAGTAAAAGAATTTAGATTATTAATAATAATAGTAATGGAAAATTTAGTATTAGGTTATATATATTTATATCTAAGGGGAAATAAAATGCAATTATATAATGAATAAAATTAAAAAATATTCTGATATAGAATTATAAATCATATAATATACAAGTAAAAATAGGTAAATAATGCTTAGAGTTTATTATTTTAGCATATTAGTAATTTTTAATTTGATAGTTGAATAGAAACTTGAAAAAAACCTTTAAACTATTAGACAAATATGGAAATGGAACTATAAATAAATTGGAGTTTTAAGAAATATTCTGTGGTAGTGATGAAATTGGAAAAAAATGTTTTCAGAATTGGATACAAATGGTAATTGAATGGAGACTAAGATTATATGTAATTATTGATGGAAGACATTAAATGAGAATTTGGAGATTAAAAATGTTTCATTTTTTCCTTTAATAATATTAATTATATTTATGTAAGATCTAAGGTGTACTGTTGCAGATCATAATAAAAAAAAGTTTGTATCAATTACTCTTTAGAAGGAAGCTGAAAAAAGATTATTCTGTTTTCAGTGTTAAAGTGATGCTATTGGAGGAGATTTTACAAAATCATAATTAGTAAGTAAACTTAAACTATGTGATTTGGATGAAGTTATGGAAGGAAATGCTTATTCTGTATATAATTGGCCAGCTGATGATGAAGGTACTAAGGTCAAAGACTTCTTAGTTGGATATAAGGTAATTGTTGAATGTAACTTTCTTTAGAGCATTGAATAATATAGAAAGGATATAGAAGATTTCTTTCTTTAAATGAAATAAAAATTGAATGAATAAGTGGAGAATGTTAAACAACTTTTGGTAGAAGCACTAAATGCAACTTAATTTATGAAAGATGAAAAACTTAAATAAGAAGAGCCAGAAAAGAAGGATGCCAAAAAAGATGATAAGAAGGAAACAAAAAAAGATGATAAGAAAGAAACAAAGAAAGATGATAAGAAAGACACAAAAAAGGATGATAAAAAAGATGAGAAAAAAGATCTAAAGAAAGAAGGTATTTATAATTCTTATATTAAATAGATGAGAAAATAGATTTAACACCAACTATTGAAAATTTAAAGAAATATTATGATACTATTTATGATCTTACAAAAATCAAGACAATTATTAAAGAAAATGTCAAGAGTGATCCAAATCTCTTGAGTGCAAAAATTAATGATTACTTAAATGATTAAAAAAGATCTGAATAAATTATTAATATGAGAAAAGTCTTTTAAGGTGTCATGTCTGGAAAAGTTGGAATTAATTAAATTACATTACATAAATAGGTATTTGAAAGTTATTGGGAATAAATTTAGAATAGTATTTAATAATGGCCTGTAATCAATTTTTATTAAATATTAGTATAAATTTGGAAAACCTCAATGGAAATTGAATCCTTCTAAAGCAGATGAGTCTAAATTAATTAAATAATTGTCAGATGATTTTAAAGAATGTGCTGGAGCTGGATTACAATCTTAAATTATTTATTCTGATGTAAGTTTTAGTGAAGGTTAACATGGTTGCATAGTATTATTTAAAGAATTTGATTAAAAGAGAGCTGGAGCAAATGGTAATTTTTATGTAGGAGTTGTACCAGAAGATTCTAAAGATAAATCTCCATATGGACATGGTTATAGAAGAGATTTATTTAGTCAAAATGGAGAAGGATTGAATGTAAGAATAGGAACTGATTTCAATAATGTTTTTAAAGTAATTCTAATTAAATAAATATTTAGATGCCTCCAAAATTATTAGCTGTTAAATTGGATATTGATAACAATTATTTTGAAATTTGTGATGGCAAACGTACAGTAGTTTATGGATTGGAAAAAGATAGCAAATTAAAAGATCAAAAGTGGAGAATCTATTTTTGGTGGAATATAGCAGCTGATAGAATCTAATTAATTCACAGTTATTGAGCCAAGTTTATTTTTATTAACAAAATAAATATAGTTTTAAATTTAATCAAACCATCCAAACCAACATAAAATATGTCTAAGTAATTTAAATAAGTAATTAAACTAACTCTATTCTTAGAATCCATAAAATTCATTCAATAAACTATTCAATGTATAAATTTCTGTAACATCAAGACCAAAGTATTATGATGTGTCTAGAATATCTAAACCCCTCCAAAATTTATCCAATATTCCAAATCGTAATTAAGAGGATTAAATCAAGAAAACTTAAACAAAATCACCTTTAAAATAGAATTTTCAAAAGAACCCTCTTGAAAATAAATCATCCATATAAAATTTAGATGAGAAGTCTATTAATAAGGGGATATCTCCATTATCAAGAAATATTAAGACTTCAGAATAATAATAATAGGTATAATCTGATAAACAATCGACACAATAAAAATAACCAATTCAATTCAAAAATAATGAAGAAGATTAAATAAATACAAATTAATAAAATATTTTAAAATCATAATAAAATATAAAACAATAAGATGTTCTTATTTAATAAAAATAATAAATTAACCTTTAAAAATAATCTGTTTAACAAAAATCATAGAATAATAAATAATAATTAACTAGACCAAAAACAGCATCAAAATCTTAATTATAATTGAAGTAAATAATCTAATAAGATTAATAAATAAATTCTACTTAATAAGATTAATTATTAAAACTGACTCATAAAACAAAATCATAGATGAATTTAAATTAAAAATAAGAATAACCAATCAAGAATAGATAGTAATAGATTTTTTAAAGAAAATAGAGTGTTGAGGATAAACTTTTATAATGTCCAGAGGGATGTGGAAGATCTTTTAATGAAAATGCTTTAGAAAAACATTCAAAGGTATGAATAAAGATACAAAATAATATAGATTTGCAAGAAGGTGTTTCAGTAGAAGAGAAAGGTGTTCAATTCGTAGATATAAAGAATGATAGAAGTTGAGAATGGTGAACAAGATAGAGGATGTTAAATGAAGAAGCAAGTGCAAATGTAGACAAATAAATTAGGATAGAAGTAATAATAGATAATAAAAAATGAAAAACCTAAATGGTAAGCATAAAGTGAAGCTTTCAGAGCAATAATAAGATAGGCTAAGGGTTAACAATTGACATAAGAAGAGTAGGTTTAATTGAACAGTGCTATGGAGAATGTTTAAAATTTGGTGTAATGCAAGTTTTGCAACAGAAAGTTTAATTCAGAGGTTGCTAAGAAACATATAGTTTTTTGTGAGACAAAAGCAAAATAGTGTGGAAAGAGTGGGATGTAAAAGAAAAAGAAATGATTATTTTAATTTTTAACAACTTATGAGAGGGAAGATTACTTAATAAAATAACATTTCATTTGAGATAAAAATGCGTTATCCTATGACAAATAAACATTCATCTCCATCAGGATCGCCAAGGAAGAGATTATTTTCAGCAAAGAGAGTGGGAAGTAAGGAACAACAATAACAGAAATACAAAGCTACTGCTTCTATAAAAACTGGATCATCAATAGAAACATTAAAGGAAGTATTATTGAAATAGACACAATTAAGTAATAAGCATACAAACAACTTGAATTATTTTGTTCATAATAATAAAAGAGAGAGTTAAAATAAATTGGATACAAAGACAAGTGATTCAACAGAGAGAGTAAATATAAGATAAGCTACATTGTCTAAAGAAAAAACAACAATTTCAGAATTAACAACAAAAAAAACTAGTATAACTAGAAGTGAATTTGAATGGAATAAATGTTAATTACCAATTACACCTTAAGTTTGTTTAACAAAATATGGTTATGCATTGACAGAATTTGAAAAGACTGAGATTCTGACATTTAAGAGAGTATAATTTTTTATGTATGATTAGATTTATTGTATAGGAATAAATGCAAAGAAAATATCATAAACATAAAATAATTACAATGATGGATTTGACAATGCTTAAGGAGAATATTTATATACATTACATGATCATATTGGTTATAGATATGAATTGTTGGAACATGTAGGATCTGGTAGTTTTGGATAAGCATTCAAAGTTTTTGATCATAAAAGACAATAAGTTCTATGTTTAAAAGTCATTAGAAATCAAAAGAAATTCTAGAATTAGGCATTGGTTGAATTAAATATCTTATCCTTCATAAGAGACAAAGATGAAGAGAATATTACAAATATTGTTAAAATTAAAGACTTTGTTATATTTAGAAATCATGTAGTAAGAACTCACAATTTTATATTCATAGTGTATTATATGTGAATTATTGTCACTTAATCTATACGAGTTGATAAAAAACAATAATTACCAAGGATTATCATTAGAACTTATACGTAGATTTGCCATTTAAATACTTAATGCCCTTAACTTTTTGTACAAACATAAGATTATTCATTGTGATCTTAAACCAGAAAATATATTATTAAAATAACCAAATAAAAGTGGCATAAAGATAATTGATTTTGGGAGTAGTTGTTTTGAAAATGAACGAATATATAGTTACATATAATCCAGATATTATAGAGCTCCTGAAGTAATTTTTGGAATTCCATATGAAATGGGTATAGATATGTGGAGTTTTGGATGTATTATGGCTGAATTATATATTGGTTATCCAATTTTTCCTGGTGAAAATGAATAAGAATAAATTGCTTATATAATGGAGGTAAAGGGTATCCCTGATTAATAATTAATTGAAGTATAATTTCATTTAAATTATTTTATAGAAAGCAACTAGAAAGAAACATTTTTTCACATCTAGTTCTCCTTATCAACCTTTGCCTTATAAAAATAAGAGAGGAAAGATTAGAGTTCCAAAATCAAAAGATTTATAATAAATATTAAAATGTCAGGATAAATTATTTATTGATTTTCTAGATAAATGTTTTAATTGGGATCCTTAATAAAGAATGAAACCTATAGATGCTTTAATGCATTAATGGATATTAGAAGGATTACCTAAAGAAATAAGAACATAACACATAAAATATTTAGAATCAGAATAGATGACATAAAAGGTATTTTTCAAAAATAATGAAACAATTCGACATCATCATATATCTGAACCTGAAATGGAAAAAAAGAAATCTAGTAGTAGTTATAGTTAAAAGAAATCAAAGGATAAAGATATTACTCTCACAACTCTCTATGGTAATATTAATAATGATATTACACCATAAAACAAACGTATTCTATCATAATCATTTCATACCTCTAAAAATGGAAGTAATTAAAAATATTAATAATATTTTCCTGGTACAACAAAAAATTAACCATTAAAATACAAATTTTATTGAATTTAAATATATATATATATATCTATGTAATAACACTAAAATATAGATAGATTTGAAATTGAAAAATAATTTAATATGTAATTTTAATATATTACTATTATTAATTTTAATGATAATTAAATATGGTTTTACTGCAACAGGTAGAAGAATAAATAAAATACTTAAAGATGTTGATAAAGATTATTCAAAAGTGTTTAAATATCAACTCTAGAAAATGAAGACAAAGGATATGTCTAAAAAGTATATCAATATATAAGATTCATAATAAAAAATAGAACATTTAACTAAACCACATAATCTCAATAAATATATTAAATAGTAATTTAAAAAGTCAATTGATAAAGTAATAGAAAAGGAAGTAAGTAGAATAGAAAGATAAGAAGTAGAAGATAAAAAATTGAAATGGGTAGAAAATGCATATATGACAGAGGAAGTGAAAAAATTTGAAAAATTATTATTTCAAAAAAATGAACGTCTAAGACTTATCAGATAAGAAGAGAATAGAGTACATAATCATTTACCTCATTAATATTTGTAAGAATAAGGTGAAATTGAATATTTGTAATTGAATTCACAACATTAATAATATAAAACAACATTAAATTAATTGCATAATTAAAGAATTACAGAAATGAGAGAAAATATAAAGAATCCATATGGATTATTAATAAAAAGTTAATTATTAGTATAATATCCAAATTTAAAATAAACAATTGAATCTCATCTACCAAAACTTGAGAATAATCATATTGATGAATTTGTAGAAGAATTAAAATCAAAAGTTGATTCAAGTACTAGTCTAATTGATTGGGATTCTGTTAAATAATTCTATATAGGAATGTAATAATAAAGAGATAATTCTTTAATTGTATTCTCTTAACATTAATCAAGTGTAAATGTTATACATGATTACTAAAATTATTTGATGGATAAATTTTATAATAATTCACTTTAAATGAGAACAAAAGGATAAATTTAATTTGCTGATCTTACAGAAGAAGAATGTGTTAGATATATTAAATATGATATAAGTACTCCTGAAATTTTAATGAGATTAGTTTCAACTATGGATTAAATTCCTGATTAATTTACTCCTAAAATTGCATCATCAATTTTACAAAAACTAGTAGTTGTTAAAAAAGATAATTTAGCACTCTTAGCTGATGATAGATATAGAGCCTTATTGAATTATATTGCTAGAAGTGAATACGATGATCAAACTTTATCATAAACTATTTTAGCATTAAGTCTTTTATAACCTAAATCAATACAAACTGTTTATGATAAATTATCATATCATTTATATGATAATTTAGCAATTCAACTTATTCCAAGAATTAAATAATTATCTAATTCTTAATTTTCAATGATTGTAAGGAATTTTCATTCATTACCTTTATCAAAAAATCTATAACTTTAAAATCTTTTAGTTTAAGATATCATAAAAAATAGAATTAATAATAATTTAAGTGTTTATGAAGCTGAATCATTTATATCATTTTTATCAAGACCTTTAATGAATGATTAAAATTTAAGTATTGTTGTATATAATTTAACACAAACTCTATTAAGTTAACCTAATTCAATCTTAGATATTGATCAAGATACTCTAGTAATATTGTCTTCTACTCTTTTAAAATTAGAAGATAATAAATAAATTTCATCATTATTAAAAAGCAATTCCAAAAATCTTTAATCAGCAATAGAATCTTGTGAATGTAAACATTTAGCTTAATTTTCTTTACTTTTATCAAAATTAGATATACATAGAAGTCATGATTTAATTTAATAAACTAAAAAGAGATTTGTTGAAATTATTACTTATAGGAAAAAGGAATAAGATGAATTTGATATAGCTATGACTATATCATCTTTAAGTCAAATAGATATCAAAATGATGTATCCTATTAGAAGAGTAAATGAAGTGATATTATTACAAACTGTATTTAATAGGTATCCTTATAGTTATAAATCAGCTAATCATGTTCCATATGAAAAATTAATCAATCTATTATAATCATATGATAAAATGTTTACAGAGAAAAGTTTGATTATAATATTTCACAGTTTAATAACTATTGGTCATATACATAAAGATGCATTCTTATAATCACTTTAATAAGTCTAAGATACATAATACTTATTTCCATTATTAATACAATTAAATACATTAGATCACAATTTAGATTAAGTTGTTTCAAAATTTAATTAATAAACCAATCCATCTATTTAAGGAGTTCTTTTTTATTTATAAGCTATGTTTTATTTTAATAAATTATAAATTTCTGATTTTGAAAAAATTGATCCAACAAAAATATAAGAATTAGATCAAACTAGTAGATGTTTTTTGATGATGCTTATTACTTCACTTCCAAAATGTGAAATTGGATAATAGATATATAATGAATTAATACTTGCTTTAGATCCATAATATATAGAATAAAAATATTTATTATTATTATCTAGAATATAATGTGATCATCAATAAGGGGAATTATAATTATTACTTACATAAATGAGATAATAAGCTACTTAAAGAAATAGTGAAATTGGAATTGAAAAGTATTTACCTTAATAAGTTATATAATAAGTAGCTGACTTATTTGTTAAATAAGGTCATTAAGTATAAAAGAATGTTTTATTTCCCTTATTTTAATCTGATTTATTGATTGATAATAAGATTGCCTTCTAATTCATTTCTGTTAATGAAATGATAGATTGTGGAGGTTAATTCTAATTTACTGGAATATAAAAACTATTAAGAAGAAGAACTAATGTTAATTATATCATTTATGAAGAATTTATAAGAAGTCAAGATTAATTTTAGTATCTAAAATAATTTTTATGATCAATTTATTAAATTGTGTGTTATTTATGTTAAAATTACATATTATAGTGTATTATTTATGTTAAAATTACATAATATATTGCATTTTTTTATTTGATTCAAATGAATTTCAATTCAAATTTAAACTACCCATTATTTAATTAAAATTATTTATAAT